TAAAAAAAGGGGGATGATGATGTATACAAATATTGAGATGTATATTACGAGTATTTACAGGTGTGAATAAATAATAATAAATTATTATGATGATTAATATGAGTGAGAGTCACAAATAAATAATAATATTAAAATATTAAAAATGTCACTCGCGGTAAGTTTCACAACCATTTTCAGTTTTCACTCAAACTGCCGATGTAGACAAAATATAAGGGTACCAATATATATAATGATTATAATTGTGTTAAAATTGCACATAATATTATATCTATATTGTATAATATGTGTATATAATTATTATGGATATGATACTACGTATCTTCTCATTATGTCTTCCGAAAAGAAACCCGAAATAATGAGGTACAGTGTTCACGCTGAAAAAGAACCACTACGTATATATATATATCGTACATATGTATATATGTAAGCCTATATATATATATATATATATATAAAGGTTCCTATACGAGCACAGTGGCGGTGGTCGCTTGTCAGTTTTTCGAACAGACACCATAATTCGCGCGGACACCCGCGATTGGACTCCTACCAAAAGGCCGCCGCCGCCGCCGCCCCCTAAATAATATCGTCTGCTCGTCGATCGCACGCACGCGCGTCCGCTGTAGAGGCGGTCTCGTTTTTATATATTATTATATTATTTTTACGTGTGGATGCCACTGAATATCTTACGTCTCGAGGAGTCATCACAGTACGTCTTCGCGTACCACCGCCTCCATCTCGGCAACTATAGCTATAATAGTATATAGCTACTCTTGATCAATATAACGCATAACATAATAATTATGTATAATTATTAATAACTATCGACAGTATTATTATTATATAAAAAAAAAAAAGTAAATAGCAGTGTTATAGGAATATATATTTTATAATAATCTACAATAATATAATAACGCGTTGTGTGCTATTTGCCGCGATTTTTGTATGCGTTTCGAAAGTGATTTCGTCCTGCACATGCTCGGCGAACAGGGCGCCGCCGTCGGCGGGTACGGTAGGCCCGAGGAAGAGTACGCGTCCGAAAACACCAAAAGGTTCACGGTGGACTCGCTTTTGCAGGTCCGAAGGCCGGCCACTGCGGCCGACGGCAGTAAGCAGCCAGCGGCCACCTGCATGACACCTTGCTACGAAGTCGGTAAGTACCTACCCATGTTATAATGTWTATCATGATGGGTGATCGAGGATAAAATGTGTGAACCTGGAATTCGAATTTTGGAAGGCCA